ACCCATAACTAGGGTCGGAGAGCAACATACCCCAAAGAACAAGCATGAAGTTTGATTTAGGGGGAAGCCTAAAGGAAATCAGAAGAATTACAAGATTTTTCTAACGATATCACCATCAACCTAGGGAATATATCTAGGAATGGAAGCTTAAGGAAGATGAAATATAACACTGGATTGGGCCAAATGTATTGAAAGAGGTATAGTTCCCGATTTAGAGGTATAGTTACTGGATGTAATGTGTTGGCTGATGCAGGTGGAAGCATTCTAACAATTTAATATGTTGATTTACTGACAGTTGGGCACAACAGCAGCCTCTATTTAATGAGGTTGATATACCAGAATTTTTCATATTATGTGGAGGAAAAGATTCCAATGCTTAGGGAAACAGGAATGGTGGAGCATATTTATCGTGTGTAATCTACACACCCATCTCTTGACAACATCCTTGAGAGAATCCAGAGGAAATCCCATCACCAACATGTGGAGAAACACACTTGCGTATAGACCATGTACATCCCTGAGAAGTTCTGTTGTGTCTGTGCTCTGTAAGCTAGGTATAATGGGAACTTTCACTATTGAGATGGGCTCTCCATTTTAATAGAGATGATGGAAGTTCTGGAGTATCAAAGGCAAGCAGTAGTACTTAACCACAGAAGACAAGGTGATGTGCATATTTATGATAAAAGCAGTAACATAGTGGTAATCATAGTTTTGACCCATAGGAATTTTGGGCAGTAGCCTATTGATTATAATGTCCCTAAGAATGAGAGTTAGACAAACTACTAAAATGGTCCTTAATCTCTGTAACACTAAAACCAGACCTGACAGCAAAAAACAAAAACAAGAACAAAAACAAAAAAACCCTGACTGGAGTCTTGGAAATGGAGAGTCAAGGTCTTTTATTCAGTTTCCAGACCTAAGCCATGCATATTACAAGAACGTCTTGGATTGAAGGAGAGATCAGGTCTTCTTTGAGGAAGGCCCTATATCATAGCCACAAGTATATACTGTATATCTTCCTTCAAGTCTTCCTCAAAGGAACATGCAGCCATCTACTAGGGTGAGGGTGACTGTGTAGCAGCAAAAAGGGAATACCCAGACCTTTTGGGGATTATCAATCACTGGCCAACTGATAGTAATTCCTGGGCACTCACAGCCCTGTAGTCTACCAGTTAAACTGGGGGATTATGTAGTGTCTTAGTCTGTTCAATTGCTATAATGAAGTATTATTCACTGGGTAGCTTATAAACAATAGAAATTCATTTCCCACAGTTGAAGGCTGGGAAATCCAAGATCAAGATGCAGGCAGATTTGGTGTCTGGTGAGTGCTTGCTTTCTGGTTCACAGGTGGTGTCTTCTAGCTGTGTCCTTACATGATAGAAGGGGTAGGGGTCTCTTTCAAGACTCTTTTGTAAGGGTACCAATTCTATTCATCAAGGTTCCACCTTCATGATCTAATCGCCTCCTAAAGGCCTCACTTCCTAAAACTATCACCTTAGAGGTTAGGATTTTGTGAATGTTGTCAGATTCAAAATGTAGTCACTTGCGTTAAACCCTAGCAAAATGGAGCTAGGGAAAGCCATGATGGTAGGGCTGTCACACACAATTTTCCTGATAACACAAACTATCACAAGAATATTTTCCAAACCACAGTTTACTATGTGAGTCACACAAAGACAGCTGGCAGCTCAAGGACAGCTAGAGGACAGCTAGCTGCTTACACAAGAACACTTGCCTGACACACTGATTCACAAATCCAATTCTAAATATAAAGGCCTAACTGAAACTCACAAGATTACATGTCTTCCCTAAGAACTACTAACATTCACCTATCAGAACTCTCCAGCTCTTGTAAGTTGCTGCCAGCACCAAAGAGCTTTCTTTTAAAACAACTTGCATAAATCTCCTCTTTCTCCAATAAAATCCTAACATTTTACTTTGTTCCCTGTACATACTGGAGGCCATCCTGGTTTGTATGTATGTCCCAAATTACAGTCATACTTCTTGTACGCTATTCACAAATAAACTCTTTTTACTTAGAGTTTTGTCTCTATTTTTTCCTGACAATTTCAATATGTGAATTTGTGGGAGGACACACACATTTCAACTATAGAAGTGGGTCAGGTGATAACTGGAGACCTGGCCCAACTTTGAAGAACAATGTGCTCAGTAGATCTGCAAATCCTCTGTATAGTTTTTTCTCAAGTTCTTGAATACATAATTGGAAGAGACACATGTTTAGGCATATAGATATACTTGGAAGCTGGCAAAATCCTCACAGTGTCTCTTTGATCCATGGAATAAGGACCACGATAGTAAAAAGAGGAAGCCTCTGGAACTTCCCTTACCTATCAGGATAGTACATAAAAAGATATGCCACATCTTTAGAGGAATTACAGAGATTAGTGCCATCATCAAAGGCTTGAAAGATGAATGAATCCCATCATATCCATTTAAGTCACCTGTTTGTCCAATGCAGAAGACAAATCTTAGCAAATAACTGAGTATGATTATAAACTTAATCAGGAGGTCACTTCAATGGTACTTGATGCTCCAGATGTAGTGTTTTTACTAGGGCGAATCAACATGACATTTCCTGACACCTAGTGTGTAGCTATTAACATGGCAAATGCTTTTTCTCTATATTAATTTATATGGTCTAACTAAACCAGTTTATGTCTTACATGTCAGGGACAGTAGTGTAGCATCACAGTCTTGCTTCAAGGTGACATCCAATCTTTTACTCTTTTCCACAATATAGTTCACAGAAACCTTGATGATCTCAATAGTCTCATACAAAATAAACTGGTTCAGCACATTGATTAAATTATGGTGTTCAGATCTGACAAATGCAAAGTAGTACGTATTTTGGATGGCAAAATAAGACAGCCAGGATGTCAACTGTCAGGATTCATTACCGGATACAGTAAAGAACGACAGAGAAGCAGAATGTCAGAGTTAAAGGGATAATAACGAGATTAGTTTCAGGCATGTTGAGCAGCATAACAGAGAGTTATCCAAGTGAAGATATTCAGGAGGCAGTCAGACACATTAATTTGGAGTTAGAGAGAACATAAGTGATGTAGATTTGGTAAGCATTGGCAAAGAAAAAATCACAATTGAAACCATGGAATGAAATGAGATTATTTAGTAAGAATACATAGAATAAAGAGAGAAGACCCAAGACTGAGCCCTGAGGAATGTAAAACTTTAAAGCTCTGTGAGAAGAAGAGGAATCAGCAAAGCAGGATGAGAAGGAAAGGCAGAGTACTAGGAGAGGTTCCAGAGAGTGTGGAGTTCCAGAAGTCAAGGGAAGAGAGTGCAGCTTAAAGAAGGGAGAATATTGACAATGTAAACGCTGTGGAGTGGTCAAGCAGGAGGGCTAGGAATGTGCATTGGGCCTAGTTCCCATGGAGGTCATCGGTAACTTTGCAATGAATAGCTTCAGCGTAGTGGAGGGAGTAAAACTAGTTTGGTGGGGTTAAAGAGCTCTTGCAGGGTGATTATAGAGAGAGCAGAACCATGGCAAATAGGTGGATAGTGAGGCCAATTCAGTAAAATTGGAGATTCAAAGAAGCAACTTATTTGGGAGGGATTTATGCCAAGTTGAGTTGTAAATATATTAAGCTTGAAATGTCTTTGTATTTCCAGTGCCTAACTCAGTGACTAGTATGCTATTTGTGAATGGGTCATGATTATGCCTTCAATACATCACTCTTCCTTTATCCTGCTTATTCTTCTTCATAGGGTTAATAAACACTAAACTTGGTAATTGAAGACAGCGCTGACTTTGCTAGAACATCTTGTAAAAGTAGGTCTTGTCCATCTGCCCCAAAGGAGATAGGAGTGTCCACGGGAGGAACACAGAATAAATGCTAAACAGACATAGGACCAAATCTGCACACAATCACTTAGAGCTGTGGGATGCAGTGTATGTCTAATACTCCCTCTCAGCCCTTGCTTCCCTGTTTATATGTTGTTTCACAATATCTGCTTCTCAGAGTGGTTAGGATGAAATGATATAATGAATTACAAGAGTAGCACATTGTGAAGCTCATCCTCAGTGGTCAATAAGACCACTTGACCTTGCACCCCAAAAAAGAAAAGGACAAGGCACTGCAGAGAAGCTCCATGCTCTCTGGTTCTCAGAATTTTTCAAGTATTGTTCATATAGGAAACATGTATGACCTCTGCTCCTTGACTACAAAGTAACCAGTGGTGCAACACAGCAGGTCGCTGGGTAAGATGCAGGCTGGCCGTGAATAGGAAACTGGGAATGAAGGTGGATAACAAAAGAGGCCTATATACATTCCACTGTAAGCGGAGTGAGTGGGCCAAGGGAAAGGGAGCATGTGGGGAAAGAAGTAATATAAGTTATGTTTTAAAAAATTGTGCACACAATCAATATTCCCTCATGGAGAAACAGGATATTAAAGGCAATGCTTTGATAAAAAGACATGTTTTAATATGAAGAAGAGTTTTTGCTAGTAATTCTACCTAGTAAGATATAAAATTTATCAACCCACAAAGTTGACCTTTCCAAATAGAGTATACTTGTACCTAAATGAGAACATTTAATTCAGTCTTTCTTATCTTGAACAACTTTTTCAGATATATTTCAATATTTATTCAGTTTCACCCAATGATGTGTAAATACTCCATATATAATTCTGTTATTAATATTACTGAGGTCAGAAAACAGATCTGAGGACCTAAAATACCAAAATTTACCCAAAAGTCTAAGTACCTATAACATAGGAAAGAGATAAAAATCCTACTAGGAGATGGCACTTGTTTCAACTTTGTGGGTACTTAATGAGAATGCTTGACTCCATTAAACTCCATAGCATTTAACTGAGGGTCCACAGCAACCAAATCGTTACTGGAGCTGAGAAAATCCAGTGCAGTTTGTGGCCTGTGGTAGGTCTTAAACGTTTGTTAATTAATAAAGTAATCACGCTGAGAAAAACAGTAGTTGCCTGGATCTTTTCATGTTGTGTAATCACAACTTATGGTGGTGAAAATTTGTACCTGGCATTTCATATTTCCCCAGGGTAGAACTTGAAATATTGTCCGCTTCTTCCATTGTTCTCCACTGCTGCCCTCTTGAGTTTATAAAAGAGGGTTTCATTTTCATATACTGTTAGCAGGAATAAAAAATGAGTACAAACTCTTTGGAGGTTGTTAATTTGGAATTTTGTCAATTCTATTAATTTTTTTATGAAAAAGTAGGCTTAAAGCAATTCTACTTCTAGAAACTTATACCCGCACACAATTAAATGGACAAGGATTGTTAGTAAACCGAAAAAACTTAAATGTCTATAGGGTTACACGATGATGCATCCAACTAATGGAATACTCCAAAGCCTTTGAAAAGAATTAGGGAGAGTTTAAGTGTTGCCACAGAAAGACCATCAAGGAATAGTAAGTGAAAAGAGAAAGATTGCATAATAATTGCTAGTGATAATAGTAATTATAAAAAACATTCATATTTGCTATGTTCTAAGCACTTTACATTCATTAACTCATTTAATTCTCATCATAACTCTATGAAGTGGGCATTATTGTTATCTCCATTTTACAGGTGAGGAAATTGAAGCACAGTGATATCTGTTAATTTTGCCCAAGGTCACACAACCACTAAGTGTCAGTGGTAGTGTGTGGCTTGAGGATTAGTGTTCTTTTCTGGTTCTATTCCAGATATGTTTTTTAAAATGTGTACATGTGTATATATTAGCTTTTTATTATGAGGGGCATTGTTACTTCTATAATAATTTTTTTCTACAAGGATGTTTCTTAAAATACAATGGCTTAGTTATTTTTCCTTTTGTTGCTAGCAGTCAAGGAAGAAATTTAATCATTTTCCTTGTTTTAATTGATTAATTCAACTAAAATATCTAATCTGTGTTAGGCATCCTTGCCTGCCCCTGTCCTCAAGAAGCAACTGTCTAATAGAAAAGAATGATATGTAAACATGCAATACAGAGCCCCTATGCTATATGGTCTGTACATGTCCTCCAAAATTCAAATGTTGAAACTTAATCAACAATGTGATATTATTAAGAGGTAGGGCCTTTAGGAGGTGACTAAGTCATAGGGCTCTGCCTTTGTGAGCAGGAGTCATGCCTTACTTACAAAAGGGGCTTTACATAGTGTTTGTCCCTTTCTGACCTTCTGTCCTTTCTGCCATGTGAGGACATGGTGTTCTTCACCTTCAGAGGATACAGTAGTTAAGGTGGCACCTTGGAAGTAGAGAGCAGCTTCACTAGACACTGAACCTGCTGGTACCTTGATCTTGGACTTCTCAGCCTCCAGAAGTGTGAGAAAATTAATTTCTACTTTCTATACGTGATCCAGTCTCAGGTATTTGTTATAGCAGCAGGAACAGATGAACACTCTATAAAGGGGGTATATAAAGATGCAGTAGGAGAGGCACAAAGGAGAGATATCAATTATATAGTGGGAAGGTGGGGGGCAGTGTGAAGGAAGGCTGCCCAGAGAAGAGGTAACGTAAGAGTTTTTCAGGAGCTCGGTAAGAGGAAGGAGAGAAAAAGCAGCCCAGATAGGGGGACTAATGAGAGTAAAGACACAGAAGCCTGAACCCACATTGTTGATTTATCTGCAGCTTAGGGAGAGAAACGTGAATAGTGTCTCTGGAGATGCACTATTCATCTGGGTAGGAACCACATCATCCAGGACCTTGTAGGCTATGTTAAGAACCTCATCCTGTGTGCCAGTTTTTTAAGGAACATTTGAAGAACATAGGTGTTCTCAAAGTAACTCAAAAGATGTAAACCAATTATATACATATAATTGAATATTATTCAGCTTTATAAATGTTAGAGGACATTCTAACATACACTATAACATAGATGAACCTTGAAGGCTCTATGTTAATAAGTTCATCACAAAAGGACAAACACTACATGATTCCACTTATCTGAGGTACCTAGAGTAGTCAAATTCACAGAGACAGAAAGTAGAACACTGGTTAATAGCAGAGAGGGATGGAAGTGGGGAAACAGGGAGTGATTGTTTAAAGCAGAAAGAGTTTCACATTGGGATGGTGAAAAAGTTCTGAAGATGGATTAATGATGATGGTTGCAAAACAATGTGAATGCACTTCATGCCATTCAAGTGCACACTCAAAAAGAGTAGAATGATAAATTTTATATTATGTATATTTTCCCACAATTTATTTAAGATGGTCTTGTGCTATTACAGTAGAAGTGCAGTAGCATAATCATAGCTCGTTGCAGCTTCGACCTCATGGACGCAAGCCATCCTCCCACCTCTGCTTCCTGAGTAGCTGGGACCACAGGCATGCACCACCACACCTGGCTAATTTTTTCATTTTCTTATAGAAACAGGGTCTCACTATGTTGCCCAGGCTGGTCTCAAACTCCTGGGCTCAGGCATTCCATCTGTCTTGGCCTCCCAAAGTACTGGGATTAGAGGTGTGAACCACCATACCTCGTTTACCAAAATTTAAAAATAAGAAAAAAAAATTATAAAGATATAGACCAAGCACTTAGAAAAATAATTTAAAGTTCTTTCCTAATCCATTAAAGTTCAATATGTAATTTGTTTGCTTAAACTGATCATAATGATTTGCTTCTGTTATGCAATAATAACTACCATTTACTGAAAACTAGCTCTTTGCTAGCTAGCTATACATCCATAGAGATCAAGATCAGGGAGGTCATCTAACTGATCCAAGACACACCATAAGGAGTGTGGGGGGGGGGCGTCGTCATTTCTGTGAATCCTACAATTGGAAATGAAGTCTTTTAGGCTCCAAACACCTTGTGCTTTCACCAATCTCCAAGTTGCTTAATTATCCTGCTACTTTTTGGGATATGTCAACGTTTTTCTTAAAACAACAAACAAAACTTGATTTGAAAAGGAAGTATTGTTTGGTGTTTTCTGGGTTCAGAAAGTGTAAGAAGCTTGAGGCATTGCAGAATTAAATTTTTGTTGAGTGTTTACTGTTGATCCACATCTGATACTTTTGAAGGGTTTTGATCCTCTCCAAGAGAGACTAAAAGAGCGTTCAAAATTAGTCTAGACGCAGTGTACTGTAACTACTTGGCAGGCCACCTGTAACAGAGGGGAGGAGAGTCTGCACTTATGTTGCGGCAGTTATCTGGAGAATACGGCCTTCCAGCCCCTCGGCCACCCGACCCCCCCCCCCCCCCCCCCAGGTGCGCGCCCCTCGGAGAGACCAAGCGCTGGCTCGTGCGCAAGCGCAGGGCGACTCACCCGGCGTCTGCGGTTTGCTGCTCGGCGCTCTGGTGTCCTGATGTAGTTCCCCCGGCTTCTTGTTGTCCGCCTCGGGCTGGGGGTGTGAGGGGTTGGGGGTTGCCGCTCCCCCTTCTTCAGGCTCTCTCCAACCCCTGCCCAGGCTAAGCCTGGCGCGGCCCCACCCTCTGACCCTGCGTTGCACAATGCCCGAGCAAAGTCTCCAGGGGTGTGAACCCCGGCGTCCCTGCCCCTGGGCGGGAACCGGCGGCGGCCTAGCGGGGAGCCGAGGCGACGAGCGCGCAGCTGGCCTGGTCCTTGGTCCCCGACTCCTGGAGTCCCTTGGGAGCCGCTGCTGCAGATCCCCTCGCCGCTAGGCCCCGCCGCCAGGCCCGCGCCGCAGCGGCAGCCATGGCGGAAGTTCATAGACGTCAGCATGCTCGGGTTAAAGGAGAAGCCCCCACGAAATCCTCCACACTCCGAGATGAGGAGGAGCTGGGGATGGCGTCGGCCGAAACGCTGACCGTGTTTCTGAAGCTGCTGGCCGCCGGCTTTTACGGCGTGAGCTCCTTCCTGATCGTGGTGGTGAACAAGAGCGTGCTCACCAATTACAGGTAGGGCCGAGACGGCGGCGGCCGAGGCCGCGGAGGAGGAGCGGGCGGCGGTGGCTGGGCGCCGGTTCCCTGGACTTTGACTGCAAAAGTTAAAGCCGAGCAAAGTTGGGCGGGAGCTGGGGAGGGCGGGCGGCACACGCGCGCTGCCCAGGCGACGGAGCCGGCTGGGCGCGCAGGCCTGGGGCAGGGGACTGCTCACCGCGCGGAGCTCCGGCGGGCCCGGCGCGTTCGGGGCTCGCCTCCCGTGCCTTCGGCGCAGCGCCTCAAAAACCCCGCCTTTCAGAGCGATGCTGCAAAGTGACTCGCTTGGTGACATTTGAGCCCCTGCGTCTGCCGAGCAGGGAGGAGAGCGAGGGAAGCCTCCCTCCTCCGTAGCCTGGACAGGGGGCCGGGGCTTCAGTGTCCCCTGCACCCGCTGACAGCTTCTGGGGAAGTGCACATCCTCACCCTCGCGGACAGTTATTTCCTTGATGTCACTGTAACCGAGAGGCAGAAGTTGATTTGTGTGTGTTTTTTTTAAGGTGTGTGAAACCGTTGGGGAGATCTGTATCTTCACTTCCTTGAGAAATCCTTTGCAGGCAGCCGACTGAAATTGTAGACTCGGACAAGACGTGACAAGCGGCCGCCCGAGGCTACAACTTCAGCGGGGTGGCCTGATAACCAACCGGCAGGGAGTTTTCTCCCAAGATTTTTATTTGATTTAGGGGCAGACGTTGGTGTGGCTTGTATCGGAATGCCTTATTAATGTTGCCGATGTGCAAATGGAATTCACGGAGCTAAGTTACGTTTGTTCTGACCTTGTTTTTTCTTTGCCCTTTTCGTAGATTTCCCTCGTCACTATGTGTTGGACTTGGCCAGGTTAGTTGGAATCCTCACCATTACGTGGTTTATGTTTTTAGAACTTCTGTGTGTGTCTTTATGTGTAGAACAGTGAATCTGTGTTCTCTGTTTACAGATGGTGGCCACAGTGGCAGTTCTTTGGGTGGGAAAGGCACTCAGAGTAGTCAAGTTTCCTGACTTTGACAGAAATGTACCTCGAAAGGTAAAAGAAAAAAAACAATATGAAGTCACTATATATTAATATATTTTATCAGCGCCTTGCACATTTAAAAATTGCACCCTCAAAATTACCCAGTCTAGAATGGTTATAATGAATGTAAAGAATAAATGTAGTAATAGGTGTCAAAGAAGGCCTACAATCTCTTTAGACTTAAGAGAAAAAAAATCTAGGAACAGTTTTCTGTTTTTAATTAATGGCACTTGTTGAAAGTACAACAGTTTTGTAGTTTCTCTATCCATCTAATCTAGCCAGTTTATCCTGCATTCATTATTCTTTGGGTTTATTTTATATTCTTCTTTCTGCTGCTGCTTGACTCCAAGTGAAGATGAAATGCCTTTACTTTTTCTGCTGACATTAGAGCCATGGGCTCTAATACATTATCATATTTACAGCAAATGATGTTTCTGTCTCACGTTGATCATATTCATATTTCTGCCTTCTCTGCCTGCCTTCCTCCCTTTCTTTCTGCCATAATAATGTTTATCCAAGCATAAGTGTTGTTTGGGTGTTTGAGGGTCAAAATTGTGTATGAGAACTAATCTTATGTTTTAAGTGGAAAACATTTTGATCATATAAACAAAATTGTTTCTGTTTGAAAGGACCTTGTTTTAGCTGTCTTTATTATTGAGTTTTGTTATCCCTTTTTAAATTTTCTAGACGTTTCCACTACCTCTTCTATATTTTGGGAACCAAATCACGGGACTGTTCAGCACAAAGAAACTGAAGTATGGATAACTTTATTTTACTAGTGAGATTAATATAATGTATGCTTAAAATTGTACTTGAATGTCAAATATTTAACACGTTATTGATTCTGGAAAAAAGTGAAAAGACCAGAGAGCTTCTGTTACTACTAAATAATGAAGGTGGTGCCAAAGGTTTTAGTTTACATTCTTTTCTTAGAAGAGAAAGAGGAGGTTTTTTTCCCCCCTCATTTTGATGTTAGAAGTCTTAAAATGTCACAAAGTGCTGTGATAGGAGATTTTTATTATTTTTCTACAGCTATAATAGCAAAGATATGTATACTAGGCTTCTGAGATTTCAGTTCTTTAATATAGTTCATAAATATCTTAGGCAATTTCCACACTGCAAAATCGGAGGGTAGGGATAAGAACTTTTGCAGTTTTTCTTTTAATGTGAAGTAAAGTAACATCAGATAGAACCCTAATAAAAATATTGCTAAATCTTACCCATGGCATATAACTGTAGAGACAACATACTTATTTTCAGAAAGAAGCAATAGCTCTCGACTCCACGGTAACACTATTTTTCCTTCCAACTAGTCTACCTTCTAGTTTCTGGCTTCTGCTCTTATTGTGGTGTGTATTGTGTTAAAACGACACAAATAGAGAAACCATTTAACAGAAATCCAGTGGCTTCATCACTACCACGCAAGCTAAAACCCTGGTATTGTAAAACAGAATGGAGAGATTTCTGAGGATCGAGTTGAGGTGTTCTTTTTCTTCCTTTTTTTTTTAAACCCAAGACACCTGACAGAATGACTAAGATGATGTCTCTGAAGATTCCAAGGAAGACAAATTTATCATGGGTGGGACATCCTTTTCCATTTCATTACCCACTAGGAGAGAAATGCAGGCCTTCTACAAAGTGCATCTTGTATAGAGTTTGGTTTTTTTTTATTCATGTCATCCAACCATTCATTCATACCTATCTTTGATTGCCAGCTAAGTATAAGGCACTTTGGAGTGAGATAAGATATCATCTGTGTCATCCAACCATTCATACCTATCTTTGATTGCCAGTGGAGTATAAGGCACTTTGGAGTGAGATAAGATATATTCAGAAATAACTATATTGCAAGAGGCTATATGTTTGACTAGTACAAGCAAAATGCTCTGGAGTTTAAATGAAGACAAAATTACATCCACAAAAGGACAGTCAAGGCATTTCATGGGATAAGACTTTCATAGATGTTTTTTTGGTGGTCTAGGGAGTGGGAGGGAGGTCAGACTAGTGAAAAAATGAGAAGTAAGCCTTTTGCTATTAACAACTAACATGTTTACAGCATAGGGTATATGCATAATTAGCAGAATAAAATGAAGTTTTGTAGTTAATTTAATGTTTCTCACTTCTAGTGGTTTTTAAAAAGCAACTCTTTTAGGCTTTCAAGTAGGAATTGTGTCTAGAGAGAAGTAAGGGTTTGTTCATAAATTAATCAGTATGGAATTTCCGTAATGGAAGAATAGCAATATTTTAACTACCAATTTGGAAAATCTTAGTTTAAAAGAAATTTAAAATTTTATTTTACCTAATTATCTTTTTGTTTTCCAGCCTGCCAATGTTCACAGTTCTGAGAAGGTTCTCCATCCTGTTTACAATGTTTGCTGAGGGAGTTTTACTCAAGTGAGTTAAGTTTCTAATATATCTGTTCTTTAAATTACATTGAAAAGGTGCTCAGCATATGTGGGATATTAAATTATTTGTCTTGTTCCTACCTTAACTTTTGAGAAGTTAAAGCAGCTTTGGCTGCTGGAATTGATAGTTTGTGGGAGTGATAGTCAGGAAGGTCATGAATTGAAGTTGAAAACCTATCAAACATGAGATTTACTTTCTAGGATTTCTGTACCTACTGCTACCACTGGGAGAAGCTGGATCGGAATCATAGGTATAGGTTTTAAATAGCATTCATGTCTTAGCTTCTTTTAGTACAAGTGTATGTGACATTTTTCTATTTAAAGAAATTCAGATTTACAAAAATTAAAACTCACTAATAACAAATTATGAAAATTTAAAAAATGATTATAGGAACTTATATAACCATTATAATGAAGTAAAAGTGAATTTTTACTTCATCAAAGGGTTCTTTTAAATATCCAGTTTCTCAGAAATGTGTAAAATATGATTGTTTATAGATTTTGAGAAAGCATATCACATTTTTTGCTTCTGTTATAAAATGAGTCTGTGTGAATAAAGTCACATGTATATTTTAAAATGTTTTATTTTGTAGGAAGACTTTTTCTTGGGGTATTAAAATGACTGTATTTGCAATGATTATTGGAGCCTTTGTAGCTGCCAGGTAAGATGTGGGCCTATGAATAGCACATTATAAATTGTCAATAATTATTATCAATACTTATTAATAACAATTTTTTATAGCCTAAATAGGAATTATGTCTTTAAAAAGCATCTAGAATACTCTTGAAAAGGTTAAATCTTTTTGGCTGTAGTAAGGTAAAGTTAGGCAAAGATAAGATTTTTGGGATTGTTGAAAGTTAAATTGATGTATTTAGAATTTGTTACTGTCATTTTACCGAGCACAGACCATGTACTGCACAATATGTTTGGCATTTTACACATCTTATTATGTATTCTTCATAACACCTCTGAGAGGTATGGGTATAATTTTCCTATTTTATAGCTGAGGAAACTAAAACTTAATTCAGTATCTTGCTCAAGGTCACAGAGCTAATAAATGGCAGAGCTGAAATTTGAATGTGTGGCTTTCTTCAGAGCCTATGTATTTTTATAAACCATGTGACATTTCTTAATTTTGCATGCTGATGAAGAAGAGCATGTGTCGTCTTCTGTGAGGTGAAGAAAATGACTATGAAACATTTGCCTTTTCAAATAACGAATGATAACATTGCTTTAAGTGGCCTCGCACAAGATACATCACAAATGCCGTAACTTAGAAATTCTGTTAGGTTATTAAAGCTTTTTTCATTTTTCTCAAGTTTTAAAGTACATGGGGAAAATGTATAACCACAGACCAAAAAAATTATAATGATTGCTAGAAGTCTTCTACAACATTTTAATCAGCCCAGGGCATGCATATATGTATTTGCTAGTGCCACACATTCTGCCAGACATATGTTTTTCATCCAAGAGTTCCAGTGTACTTCTTGGTTTGATTTACCATCATCACATTCCCATAGTATAGGTGGAGGAAAATATTATCAGTCTAGTCCTATTTTATAAGTTCAATCTCTTAAGTAAAGTTTCATTCTAAAAAAAAAAAAAAGGCATAACTGGTTACTAGAAATTGGCTGTAGAGCTGACTGCTTTTCCTTCTATGTCGTATTGCCTCCTTGGAGAAAAATTCTGTACTAGCCTCCTACCTTTCTTCTGGAGGTGCCCTGCTAGTCTTTGAAACATTTCCTTGAATCTGATGGGGTCCAAAATTGTACCAAACAACAGGGGTTCCTCAGTGCTTACTCGGGTCAACAAGAAAGTTCTGAAGAGGATTGCTATCTGGACCAGTCTTATCTAGGTGGACCCTTTGACTTGGAAAAGATATTGGGAGAAAGGGAACACAGACCTCTGAAGTCAGTCAGAGGGTTGTTAGACTGTTTGGGGTAGGGAGTGTGCATTAAGTTAGTCCTGTCTAAAATTCAGTAGTATAGAACTCATTAGAAGTGTTGGTTCCTATACAGTATCTCTGTAAAATCATAGACTGTGGTCCCACTATTTTAGCTAGGGTGCTGAAGTATGCTGAAGGCATACTTTTCTCAGATTTTCATTTATTCTGTTTAATTTACTAAATTGTTATCTTGTGCCTGGTACTCTAAGTTCCAGAAATTTTCAGTTTCTCTAAACCCCCTAGTTACACTTCACAGGTTCATTGAGCAATTATTTAAGTGTTTGAGTTCCTGCTGTGTGCTTAGACACTGTTACTAGCTTGATCTCAGAACTAACCATGATCCATACATCAGAAATTCCACCCAGGGGCCCAACTACCTATGCAACATAGTCCTACCGTTTGTGTAGACCTTCAGAAAATGACTTGTTAATGGCCTTGTCCTTTTGGTTTCCTTGTCTGTGAAACTGAGCTCTGATGCCTTCTGCCTGCTTCACAGAAGTACTTAATGATAAATTTGGTGCTTGTTATCATCTGGCTTTTAATGCAGAGCAGTGTGCTATTAAATGACATGATTGATTTTTGCTAATTATGTGTTTAAATGTTAGTGCCTCTTATGTCTGAGGAATCCCTTATGGAGGTAAAATTACAAACTGACCAGAAATCAAGAAATACTAGTAGCTGATAAAAATGCCTAATATTCACGTCCCTAGATGAGAATATGTTTTTGTAAATACTTTAGTTCGTACCTATTTAAAATTAAATGCATGTTCTTTAAATGTAAGTTGTTCTTAAAGTGTTGCTTATGTTTTGCAGCTCTGACTTGGCATTTGATCTGGAAGGATATGTTTTTATTCTGATAAACGATGTCCTGACAGCAGCAAATGGTGCATACGTCAAACAAAAATTAGATTCAAAAGTAAGTAGCAATCTAAATCTTCTTTAACAGATGTATACTGATGTTGGGAATGTCAATTCATCAGAGAAAAAGTGGGGAATAAAGAAAGTACTTACCAAGGAGGAGAAAGATATAGTGGCCCTCTGAGGATAAAATTCCTATACTTTGGTGTTCATATAAGAAACTATTTTTTAATTAATTAGCAGTTAGGTTTTATTCCTGGCCTTTCTGGGATTGCATGAATATTGATTTCTTATGGGTTAGGGAAGGTGAAGAGTGTTCACCAAAGTGTCTTTAAATGTTCATGACTGTATTCTAGAGGACTTTCTGGGGGACCTGGGAGGCAAAACAAAGATGGCCTTTGTGTATTTGCCCTATAAATAACGGGAAACTTTAGGGAGCATTGCTATCTCTCTCAGAGGCAACACTGAATTTCCTGGCCTAGGCTTTACCAGATATTGTTTGTTTACTATGTACTTTAAATATAGACAAATTACATTTTATTTTCAGATCAAGCCAGATTATCAGAAAGCTGAGTATTTGAATCGCATTGCTTTTGCAACATTATAAGATTACATTACTGTAAGAAACAACTAAATAGACCTCAGCTTTATATATCCTAGGGTTGCTAATTGAAGGAATTGTCCTTGATATCATAATGTATTCTATACGAAGACCCATATGAGATGTTTATCTTAGATGTCACCCTAGTTTTTCCTGAGCAGCTGTTTTTTTTTAATCTCATAATTAAATCTTATCACTGACCATGACTTTATCTTATTTTCCTACCCATATTTTCTCTTCCGTCAGATGACTTTAACTGCTTAGTTTTTAGTCTTTTCTATTACATGTAGAGTATTTCTGAAACTACTTAAGCTCCTTTTTGGAAACTTAGGTAATAAATAAATACTAGTGTCCTACCTGCTTGATAGTGCTATTAGTATTGAGTTGACCTTGCCTTGGCCAGGGGCTTTGCCTGCTCCTCCAGAAAAGAAGTATAGATTGAATGGCTATCACAGTAGGTTCATTATTTTCATATAGTTTTTTTGGAATAGGCTTGAAGAACCAAGGACAGTGTTGATTTGTTTCCAACCCATTTTCTTTAAATGTACATTTCTTAGCCTCCATTTATTTGCTTTGATGAATCTGTATCATGGTTGCATTTTAATGGAAGTTACTAGTAAGAATTTTTATCTTTTTAAAACAGCTAGAGAAAAGGTAGCAGTTAGTGATTGTTCTTACTCTTTTACTTCAGCCAATTTGCTACTTTGGAAAATGGATACAATTAATGACACTTTATTTGTGTAGCAGCTTCAGTTGTCTAAAAGAGCACTCTTCAATAGAATTTTCTGTGATGTTGGAAATTTATATTTCTGCTTTCTGTTAACTGGTCATTAGCCATGCATAGCTCTTGAGCACTTGAAAATAACCGAGAAACTGAAATCAGTAGTTTTATGTGATTATAATTAAATCGAAATAGCTACATGATGCTAGTGGCTACCATATTAGATAGTACAATCTATAGTACACCCTAGAACCTAGAAAAAGTCAAGAAAGTTTCTGAGTATTTTATTCCTAGGAGAGTCCTTCAGTTTCTCACTTACAAATGACTATGACTTATTTGTATTAGAACTTTTAAGTTCATTGATTACTTCTCATAGCTCATATCTTAGAAGCAACAAACTAGAAGGTAGAATTCTATTTAGAGGCAGAGAGGTTTACCAGCTATATAAAAGGTCAGCTAACAAGAGAAATGGATTGTAAAAGACAAATGCTGAAGAAAAAAAAGATGTAGGGTCTATTAAACAGCTGAATAAGAACATAATATGTAAACATAATACAGACTTATGATGCATAACAATGTATCATAAGACGTAATAATACATGTTTATGATGATGCCCTAAATCTAGTTTTAGCCAGTGTACTTTCTTTAAGAAGGCAGGGAGAAAGATATTCAACACAGTTAAATGTATAAAGAAAAACAGAAGTTTTGGCATTTAAGTTTTTGCTGTGTGTCAGTCACTGCATGATGTGTATCTGTGTGTATATATGCCTCCATGCACATCCTCTGCTTCCTGGATAACACTCATGCCTGTGGCTGACTGGGCGCCATTCTTAAAGGTTGTTGCAGTATGGCTTTTTTCTTGCTGCAATACATATGAGGCACACCTTTACACCGATGCTTGTGGTGAACATAAGCAATCAGTTACTTGGTTTATCCCAGAGGTAATAAGGCAATATGGCCATGCTGAGGTGCTTTTATAGGTTTTGTTTTGTTTTTGTTTTTGTTTTTTAGAAGTAAAGAAAAAGAATGGCTACTCCATAGGCAGGGCAGCCAGTCAGGAGTTTTATTACTGATAATATTGGGACTGCTTACAATCATGGTCCGTTGAGTATGAGTCATATAACATCAAGATTTTGTGTTGTATTTTAGACCTGAATGCAGCTATTGAATGAAAAACTTTTTAACTTTAAAATATTATGTAAAATGATGCATGTTTATGATGGAAGTAGTAGAAAACATGGATAAGCGAGAGGGAGAAAACATAAATCTCCCTTAATGCTATCATCAAGTGAGAAGCACTGTTTTGGTGGATATCCTTTATTTTGTGTGTGTGTGTGTATGTGTGTGGACGCTTACATGTATGTTAAAATTTTAAGCAAAAGAGGGATGATGTGTTTTCTAACTTGTATTTTTCACTTGTACCATTTCTTGAACACCTTTTTATGTCAGTCGGCATCATTAAACATTTTTAGTGGCTATGTAATGTTTCAGTGTACAGCTATGTTACAGTCTAATCATCTAATCAGCTAGTTTTCTTTCAGTTTTTTTTTTTTTGAGATAGAGTCTCACTCTGTTGCCCAGGCTGGAATGCAGTGACACAGTCTCAGCTCATTGCAACCTCCGTCTTCCAGGTTCAAGTTATTCTTGTACTGGAGCCTCTCAGATAGCTAGGATTATAGGTGTACGCCACCACACCTGGCTGTTTGTACTTTTAGTAGAGACAGGGTTTCCCTGTGTTGGCCAGGCTGGTCTCAAATTCCTGACCTCAGGTGATCTGCCTGTCTTGGCCTCCCCAAGTACTGGGATGACAGGCATGAGCCACTGCACCCAGCCTAATCAGCTAGTTTTCTGTCATTGGGTATTTATTTCCAATTTTTCAGTGCTGCTTTTGAGAAGGCAATTCGACTTTTCTCATCAGTCCGTAATCTTTCAACCACGGGAGTTAGGCAAGTGTTATGCCCCCATCCTTACCACTCCCTCACTGTCCCCCTTCCCACCCCTCAAACCCTGGCTGGCTTTTTCAGGAGACTCCTTCCTGCTGAATGTCCCAGAAGTATGTGAATCAAAGGTAGACTCAGAGTTCTTATAGGCTCCCTGTTTTTGAAGATGTGTGTTGTCCTTTAGCCAAGGGCACAATGAGTCATATTGTGTTCTGGGAGTTGTAGTTATAGTAATCTTAATCTTCCTTGTACTTCATGTACACATTTTTGGAAATGCTTCACTGAGAAGTGCTGTCTCTTGGTATTGGTTTAGGCCTGAGTCTGTGTGTCTGAATCTGTCCATCTTTTTTTGTTTGTTTTCTTTGTGCTTTTTGTTTGTTTTGTTTTTGAGCCAGGGTCTTGCTCAGTTGCCCAAGCAGTAATACAGTGGCACAATCAGAGCTCACTGAAGCCTCTCTCGGATTCCTGAGTTCAAGGCAGGCTCCCACCACAGTCTCCTGAGTAGCTGGGACTATAGGTGCACATCACCATTCCTGGCAATTTTTTTTTTTTTTAATATACGTTCTTGGTCTGTCACCCAGGCTGGAGTACAGTGGCATGATCTTGATCTTGGCTCACCACAGCCTTTATCTCCCAGGCTCAAGTGATTCACCCACATCAGCCTCCCCAGTAGATGGGATTTACAGGCACGTGCCACCATGCTTGGCTACGTTTTTTTTTGTGGTGGGGGGAGATGGAGTCTCGTTCTGTCACCCAGGCTGGGGTGCAGTGGTGGGATCTCAGCCCACTGCAACCTCCACCTCCCAGGTTCAAGCGATTCTTCCTCCTCAACCTCCCAAGTAGCTGGGATTACAGGCACCTGCCATCATGCCTGGCTAATTTTTGTATTTTTGTAGAGATGGTGTTTCACTGTGTTGGCCAGGCTGGTCTTGAACTCCTGATCTCAGGTGATCCACCTGCCTCAGCCTCCCAAAGTGCTGGGATTAAGTTCGGGTTGTTTGCAAAACTTCTGACTTAACTCAGGCATAGGCCACCGTGCCTAGCTGTTTTTGTATTTTTTGTAGAGACAGTCTTTCCCCATGTTGCCCATGCTGGTCTCGAACTCCTGGGCTCAGGCAATCTATCCTCTTCAGCCTCCCAAAGTGTTAAGATTACAGGTGTGAGCCACCATGTCTAGCCTCATCCATCTCTTTTAAATGACACTTGTGTTATGCTTCTGAAAAGCCCAAGACATACTCAGTGACTCTTGATTCAGTTGTGGAAAGAGAATGGCTTCAGGGAGATGTTTTGGTACTCGTGTGTATGTGTGTGTGTTCGTTCAAAATAACCTTTTCTACTTGCTATTTTAAGGCAGCCAGTTGCCATTTTTATTTCTCTGATCTTAAGCACTTGAGGAATTTATTTGAAGTAAGTTTAAAATTTTGTATGTTTGCTTTTTTTTGGTCTTTTGAAAGTTTAGGTTATTTCTTAATGTTTGCAAAACTTCTAACAACTCATTTACTGTGTATGTTGTAGGGGAAGGGGTGTGTGTTTGTGTATGTATGTGTAATTTGGGTGATATTTTGTACAGTGTTTTATGTATCTGCTAGAACCAATGCAAATGAAACAACTAATTATTTACTGTCCTAGGAGCTGGGAAAATATGGACTGCTCTATTACAATGCACTCTTCATGATTCTGCCCACCCTGGCCATTGCATATTTCACAGGAGATGTACAAAAGGTAGGGCTTTCTAATTATGGTTTAATGGCTTATGTTGATGAACTGCATTATTATTTATTATAAAAAGATCAACTTTGTGTTGTTCAAAAGAAATATTATTAAGTGACCAAAAAGTGAGCGTTTACTTTTTAAATTGCTATTGTCATGCTAACCTCTTTTCTTGGCATAAACATAGGATAGTACTAAGATGACTCAAAATAGCTCAGCTGTCAACATAAAAATAGTGCTTGCCCGCTAGTGTCCTTTTCTTACATGCTGGAAGAATAGAGGAAGGGAATTTTTACATTTCTGCTAAACTATAAAATAGGAATAGTAGTAAACTATCCTTGAGAAACAAAAATCTTGAAATAATAAAATTCTCCAAATCCTAAACAAAATACTAGGCATTGCTAGAAGGTCTCTGTTTTAATGTACATTTGTCATCATGGTTTAACTCCCGACTTGTTTTTTTTTTCCCCTTCAGGAGATATTTAGTGCTGTATAGTGATTTAACCATGTAAAGAACAACTAATGTAGTAGTTTACCAATTTTCTGCAAACATCTAGCTAAATAAATACAGAATAGAGTAGTAAAATACATCCAGAGAAGAATTTTTCTCTAAAAGAAGCCCACATAGGAGACAAATTGATAATATATTATTAGAATTCACAACATTCTGCAGACTAAATGCAAATCAGAATTATGGCAAGAATTTCGGTACCAAGATCCCGTCTAATGATTCCCCTGGCTAGTAACTTCTTCAGAATAAGTGTGTTGGTAATTCACTATAAAGACTTACAGTGATTATTTTTACAAATCTGTCGTAGCTAAAATAAGAGATTTTTAAGAACAGTGGACTATTAAATTGTTCTTGAACCAAAGGCAGGAGCTTATGAAGCTATTTTTCCCCCCATCATATACCTCTTTCTTTTAAAGAACTGGTACAGGTCATCTTGAATGAACTGTGACCTACCTATCAGCAGGCCTAAAAATGGCATCAAAATAGGAAACAGAGCTATTTCTCTAATAAAAAGTATTGAATAAGTGTTTTGTGACTGAAAAAAAGTGGCACAAGAAAATGACAATTATTGAATCCCTATTATGTGTTAGTCACTTTATATATTTAATGTAATGTGGTTTTTGTAACAGTCAAGAAAGTTTTATGCCTATTTAGCTAATGTGAAAGGAGAGGTTCAGAGAGACTAAGAAACTTGTCCAATGTCATGCTATTGGGGAATAGTGGAGTCAAGATTTAAACCCAAGCCTGACTCCAAAGGCTGTGGGCTTTGGAACAGACTAGCTACTACTAGCAGAAGCACCCCTCACTCTCCAGCTTTGGGGCAAGAATGTGGTGTGATCTGTGGTTCTAAATCTTGAGAGCAATCTGCATGTGAGAAAGTTGGAAGAATTAATTTGCTTGGGGAAAGTATCTTTATAAAGTTTCTTTTAGCAGACACTGAATTGAATGAACTAAGAGAGCAATTTGTATGGCCCTTTGGAGGGAGAGTAATCTAGGTCAAGGGAAGGGCAGATTCCAAGTCCTGAGATGAGAGTGCTTAGCCTTTTTTGAATAGGCAAATACCAGGAAAAGTCAAAGTGGGCCTTGAAGAATGTAGGTGGAACTAACAGCATGAGCACAGGCACAACTGCAAAGACCAGACTGTTCAATATGGTTAGAAGACAGAAGTCAAAGACCTTGGAAACATTAGAAGAGACCTTAGAGAGCAGCTGGTTCAAGCTTTTATTTCATAGATGGATAAAATGGGACCCAGAGAGGACTAGAACCTAGATTTTTAAGTTCTCAGCTAGTGCTATTACCATTCCCACCATATCACACCCTTAATTTGCTAGACAAAAGAATTTGACATTTACTCTGCAGGTAGTGATAAGTCCTTAAAAGTTTATGACAAAGGGCTGGGTGTGGTGGCTCCCGCCTTTAATCGTAGCACTTGGGGAGGTGGGCAGATTGCTTGAGCCCAGGAGTTCAAGACCAGACTGGGCAACATGGCAAAACCCATCTCTACAAAAAATTGAAAAAAAATTATTAGACATGGTTGGGTGCATCTGTAATCCTAGTTACTGGGGAGGTTGAGGTGGGAGATCACTTGAGCTTAGGAGGTTGAGGCTGCAGTGAGCCATGATTGTGCCACTGGACTTTAGCCTGGCTGATAACGAAAGAGCCTGTCTCAAAAAAAAAAAAAAAAAAAAGTTTGTGACATAAGTGGTACAGTGGGGAGAATTTAGGGCTCTCAGAATACAGAAAACTAACAACCTCCAATTCTCTGCCTGACTACCATCTGACTTTGGATAAGTCCCTTCTGCTCTCCTTGCCTTATTTTATGATGTGTAAAATGAGTCTCTAGATACAGCTCTTTCTGGGGTTGAGACAGAGTTTCTGGGGAGTAAAAGCCATGTCATTGTGGAAACAGGCAGCTGTTCTCACAGCTGGGATGAGCCTGGTGCTCCCTGATGATGAGTGCCGATAAACTGCTCTCATATGTTGGACTGCAGACTTTCCTGACCCAGAGCCACTTTGAATGGAAGCTTTCTATGTATTGAATGAAAAGATCTCCAAGATAAATGGTTAAGTGAAAAAGCACAGTGCAAAATGGTGTATATGGTATCCTACCTTTTGGGTGAAAAAGAAAAATAAGAATACACACACATATACATACACACACAATTTTTTCACTTATTTTCTTTATTTAAATAAAGAAACTCTGGAAAAATATATATGAAACTAATAAGTAATTTTTGTGCATATCGTGGGAACAGGGTAAGTAGAACAGGAATGGAAGGGAGCCTTCTCTTTCTAAATTTTTTTTTGATTAGAGGATTAAAGATAAAGTCTTTCATTAATGACTACTGTCCTGTGATTAACCCTAAATTTAAAAATAACTGGGGACATAGGGTAAGTCAGTTTGTTATTATCCGAAGTTATAGAGTCTTGAACCCACATTGCAAATTGAAGCAAAATCAGTGCAAATTATTCTTAGAGTCTCGCTGTTAATTTTAGTAGGCAGAAGAGGGAAAACTTCCCTCTGTTAGGACAAGAATCCAACAAAGAGGCTCTGAAAGTTTGGCTCCTCAGAGAGGCAGGAGTTGGATACAGCAGTTGATGGGGTTGACATAGCCTTTAAGCAAGAATTGGAGGCCAAGGATGAGAAAAACAAAAATTATAATACCATAAAAATTTAAAGGCAAGTTCCAGTTGAAAAACTCATCCCAGTGAGCACATAATTCAAGGTCTTGGCAAAGCATATTGAGAAACCAAACTCTGTGTGTGTGTGTGTGTGTGTGTGTGTGTGTGTGTGTGTGTGTGTGTGT